GCTCTCGTGGTAACACATATTTCTACGTGCATACCGAAAGGAAACAATTGGCATCTGCCAGAAGATTTTTTTTTTTTTTTGCCTAAGATTCAGAAGGCAAGCCAAGGAAAAACTATAAATCATTTCACACAGACTAATATCTCAATTCTTTGACAGAGAAAGTAGTTATATCTTAAAAAGTGACAGGACTCTCATCAGAAGGGAACCTTATCTCGTGCCAAAGAAATGTAACATTTTCTTAAAGCCCCATTAACCTCATGCAAGTCCACTAACTCTGTTTTTATGATCTTGGAACACACTAACCTGGTGTTCCAAGATCATAAAAATAAGACTGATGATTGTCACAGCAAGAATTTTAACATAGTATCAATTGGGTTGGACATCAGGTGGACAGTGCTTAGTGATAAAGGTACCAAAAAGAAGATAGCAAAACTTCAGACAGTGTACATGTTTTGGGTAACTCTGATGTAAAATAGTTCAGACTGCCCATCACACAGTAGTAGCTGATAATTCACCCAAAACATTGAGAGGCATTAAAGATTGCAGGATTTTGAGAATTACAGGACATAGATGTCCCTTATCACTGTGATTGAATGGTTATTTTCAATTAGGTTACAGTGTCTTCTGTACCTTAGAATAAAAACAAGCACTATACCTGCCTTGAATTGAAATATATGGAAGCAAAGTTCAATTTAGATGAAATAGATCTTGTCAATAACTTGTTTTACAATGCCTACTCTAAAATATTCTTCTGTGATTCACTTATAATAATTAGGATAACTTAATAACGTAATTTCACTTCTTTGTTCAGTGACCAGGTAGACTTGTTCTGACAAATTAATCTGAAAAAAAGAGAAGCAATGAAAAAGCAACTCCTTGAATGCAACACTTAGGAGATGTGTACCTATTGGAATACTAAAATGCAGGAACTTAAAATAAATACTACAATTTGATGAGCAGCCTTTTACTCTGCTGTCAACTGTAGAGGCACAAAGGTTGAAAGTTTCATTGCAGGATCTTGAACAAATACAAGAACTAAAAATTTTTCTTAAAGGAAATAATTATCTTTGTAGTGAATTAAAAATAGCATAATTTTATTCAAATTTTTCTTTTTAAAGTAAAAAGTCAGTTATACTACAATGCTAATCACTACATTAATGAACCAGAAATCAAATGAATCAAACAAAACTTCACATTTCCTTTTAACATCCAAGGACAAAATATTCTGACATTAAAAAAGTAAGTCTTATTTTGCTCTGAAACAGGAATCCAGTGAAAAAGCAGATTGATGAGGGAAGGTAGGTTCCTCCACACAATTGAGTGAATTTTGATGAAACAGAGGTTAAGGAATTTTTGACCAGCATTACTGACAAAGTACGAAGGCCTAAATTTGCATCTCAGTCCAAGCTTAGACTTTGTAAATCAGCTGGACCAAATATTTCAAGGCTTCTTGTAATCTATTTGTATTGAAACATTAAAAGAGAGATTTAGCTAGTTTTCCAGAAAAAAAAACCCCAAACAACACAACAAACAACAAGAAAACCCCATAAGTATTCAGATTACAGTAAAAGTGATTGAAATCAATGAGATAAAAGTTCCTTAACATACATGTATATATTGTTGTAACAATGTCATACTACTGATAAGAAAAGCCCAACACACCCATTTCCCCCCATGAAATTTTCTAAACCTACCTAAATTAACAAGTTCCTTCATTTTAACTTGAATAATCGGACTGAATTGAAACATATGGAAGTAAAGTTCAATTTAGATGAAATAGATCTTCCTGCATTTACTTGCTTACATGTGAGAGTGTGATAAACATTTTCTATCTGTCTGAATCAGAGTTTGAGTTCTTATCATTCTGGGATAAAAAAAGAGTTTTAGAATGCATTCATCTTTACGCAAAAGCCCACAAAAGAAGAAACCATCACACTAACAAACCCTACACCACATCCTTGGCAAAAGCTAGTCTCATGGCTGGGTAGAAGTCACAGTGACAATGCTCATGTTGCAACATCCACCTCACCGAGGGACAGAGCTATCATCAATCTCTCTCTGCAGGTACAAATAATTTACAGAATAGTTGTTATAATGTGGTTTGATTGCCTGAGCTATTTTTTTTTTCATACTTAATGTAAATAGAATAACAGCCCTGAAGATTGACAATTTCTTATTAGCCAGCACAACTTGGCTCATAAAGATGGTTTTCACCAAAAGAGTAAGAAGTGCTCACTTCCCTGTCCAAAAAAAGCAGCTTATTAATGTAAATTTCTGTGCTCCTTCACAGCATGCAAATGTTACCCTAGGTAAAAAACAACCAACCAAAAGTTTATTTCAAAGAGGACCACCAGCAGCTAAGTATCTTCATATCAACACCAGTATAAAAATTGACCAAAGAACTTCAAAATCCTTCCTTCTCACTCAGACACACTACATTATTTTCCATGTTTATTAGAGCGGGTACCTCACATAAATCTGCTTATCATCAATCCCCTTACTATAAATAACAAAGCCTGATGATCACTTACTCTTTGTATGAGTCACATTTAAAAAGAGCCCTGAGGTGCTTCTCAGTGAGTCTCTTTGAATCATGAATCAGAAAGGAAAGAACACAGCCTCTGAATATCACCATTCCCAGACTCTAGATGCCTAGAAGTATCGTTGCCTATTAATAGTTTCAAGCTGTCCAGTTTCATATAATGGAAGTCAATGGTCATAGAGAAGTTTCTCTTCTTCAGAGGTATTTGTAAAATTAAGAGAACCTGACAACCTCCATACACACGCAAAACAGAAAAGGTGAAACCCCCTTATTTCAAGGCCAACTGAAAATCCATAGTCTGAACAAAAACGAGGAATAAGAGCCACCAGGCTCCCCATGGCACAAGTCCACGTTGGGCAGACATCAGCCAACCCTGGAAGACATGAGGACAGTTTCCACCTCAGTCCTTGCTGCACAGCACACCCTCAGAGCCTCACATGCCACAGATTTTAAGCTATTACTTTATTTCTCATTAACAGCTTCCAGGTCTCGCCCATGTTTTATTCATTTTCCAGCCAGGGCTACAGTCAGGCTTTTACTCACCTCAACAGGACCACAAGAAGTTTCCTTCCTTGTGGACAGAGCGAAAACAGAATGCTTTCAGACCTGATGGAGCTGGAGACAAGCAGCAATTAGCTGACAACAGGCTGACACGTTCTTCACCGCTCTTGCATAAAACATTGAGCTGTGCTCCTCTGGCCCACCTCAGCTTTCTAAACTTATTTATTTATTTTCAGGCTAACCACTTAGTAGCCTGGCAAACTGCTGTTTTGCAAAGGCAAATTTTCTTCTTTTTTTTTTTTCTTCTCTTTTTCTTCAAGGTACAAAAGAAAGAGGTAAAGTCCTATACCTTCTTTTGACAATCTTTCAGCTCCCCTTTCCTTGCAAGTCCTTCACACTTCCCCTGAAGTATAGTAGTACTGTCTACTTCAGCCCAAATTTCTCAAGGTCTTTCTGCATTCATAGAAAATAAATACTACTTTACTCCTTCAGCCTTAAATGGAAGGGCTCTCTAGATAAAGGTAATTAACCCATTTATCTAGCTCATTGCTGCTCATTAGTGCCCTGAGTGCCTTCATCTGGCCTCCCAGGTCCCTCAGAACCATTTCTGTGGATGCCACCGCACCACTTTATTTTCTCGTTCCATAGCAGAGCCCTCTGATCTTCTCCTACTTCTTTGTCTAGAGATAATTCTTCCTGGGTTTTTTTTTTTCTTCCATTTAGTAGCTATTCTCCCCCCACAGAGAGGTGAGGGACACCTCTCGGAAGCAGCTGCTTCCCAAAGTCTTGGTCTTGCTATGGTCTGCCTCAAAGTTACAAGCCCCAGAAGCCATTTGGGGTTAAAGGCAGTAACTTGTAGAATACCACTAGTACCCCAAATCACTAAACAAATTGTTGGAAAACAAATAGTAACCTAAAGATTTAGAAAAGTAAAAAAGGTATTTTTCTGCCTTTCATACCACAGCTGACTATATTCTTTTTTACAGTGATATATTGAAACATGCTGAAATCTGTAACTTTATTTGCCTTAAATAATTTTGGATATTAGCTAGTCGTTGTGATGTACATGCAATCCTAGAGATTAAGATAAGAGTGAGCAAATGTACTTAAAAGTACTGGAATCAGTAATTCTCTATTTGTCTCTGCAAGAAATTCTTCCACTTCTTTTTAACAGGAACTCATGAAATGAGAGACTGACCAATATTAGAAGTTAAAAGTCTTTTCCTGAGACATCATGTTCTTTTGTCAGCACATTGCCTCAGTTGACACATGATGATCAATGAGTTGCAAATCCAGTGTCACGTTTAATACCTATATATTTTAATTGTCACTTACATTGCAAATGTCATTAATGAAGCCTTAAGGAATGCTTCATTGTACAGAGTAGAAGATTTGCAGATACCCTCTTCAGTCAACCTAAGAACAGTGCTTCTATTTCAGCTGTATGTAGAGATATGCATATATTCTTTGTTTCTTTTCTTACACCAATGAGTAATTTCATATTAGTTCTGTGCATACTGAAGTGAAGAAAAGAACCTTCACTTTTTAAGTTCTTTTTCATTAAATCAACCATTTTCTTTTTATACTATGTTTCATGAACTTTTTCTCTTTACCATCAATACTTACAAAATGAGAATGTTTTAAATTATTACAGGCCATGCTAAAAAACCCAAACAACCAAGATTAATAGAAGGACAGTCTCTGCTACGAAAACTGTTAATTCAGTGTAATGGCTGCTCTGTTCTATTATGTTACAGTGAGAATTTATACACACCGACCAGCAGATCTGATTTACTTTTTATAGGTCTATTCAGAATTGTATGTAATTCTGATGGCATGGACTCCTCTATCCCTCTTTATATAAAAACGTGTGTTGTGACCAACTTGCTATTACAGACTGACACATTAAAAATTGCATACATTATTTAGTAATAGCTTATGTATAATTTTATTTCTTTTCAGAGTTACAATGTTCATGAGATAATCATAGAGAACACATTATATATTGTTGTTAAACACATTTTTGCCACAAAAAGTTGAGAGCATTGGTAGAAAATCCTATGTCAAGTTATGTGAAAATATTTATCACCTGTAACCATATTTTCATAAAACCAATATACACTTTACGTAATATTATATCAGCAAATTCCTTCTTTGTGCAAATAACCTTTGCTCTATACTTATGCATGTTTGTAGTTCAGTGCAACAAATGCTTCTCTGTGTGTGTGTGTGTTTTTGCAATGCACAGGAAAAATACTAGTTTACTCCTATGGTAACTGTAAATGTCAACACCACTGGACCCAAGAATGGTGAATTACTAGATCTTAATTTTAGCGAATAATCACCTTCATATTTTTCTACCTAATGCTGAACAAAACATTAATTGGCATTTACCTCCTAATGTTTACAGAACATAGACTGTATATTTCAAAGACATAATCCTTACCAGCTATATACTGACTTTTATTTTAATATCTATTATATAAATTAGGACTCTGTTGAACTCTTATACTGAGGAACAAATGATAGTAACTTTATTTAAATACATGCACAGTACCGTGCACTACAGCATAATGAAGTATTATTTTTTAAATGGATGAATGAATCAATAGAAAAATAGATTTAATAAATAATTAACATTTTAAAGTCTGGATAAAAATGGGAAATCATGCATTTCAAGCAAAATTTTATTTTTTCCTTTTTTTTTTATGAAATCTCTGAGAACTTAAGACATGCAGAGCTGAGAAGCAGCTCACTCTGAACAAAGAACAATGTTAAGACTGCACAAAAAGTTTTGCTTGAGATTGTTTATATGCAAGACTGAAAAAATTTGCCATTCTTCGACTTCCCTTCAACATTAGACAGTGCTGTGCAAACCTCAGGCAAATCCCTGTATTATGATTTCTAAGCTGTTAGGAAGTCTCTCAGAGAGCTAAGAAAGTTAAAACCTGAGCAACTGCCTCACCAAAATTTATGACAAGAAATGTCTGGATTTCAGACAGCAGACTACGAAAGGGTAATGGACAACAGGTCATCATTTCCTTGAGAGATTAATTTACGGGATGAGTAATTATGGACAACATAAATTTATAAATTATTATGACACAAAAAATATGTTCAGTTTTCTAATATTTGGAGTTCGTATCTATGTCTCAATATTTAGCATATGTTACTATGTCAATCAACTTATGAAACAAAAGAAAAGTGAGTATTTACTTGAAACTAATTTAATCTTTTTCCCTACCCAAACATTTGTCTGGACATTGACAATGCAATCAGAAGAACTGTAAATTTTCAGAAGTGAGTCTACTCCAGTGAGTTTGATTAATTATGCATTAACCCATTTCTCTGAAGCATCCTTCACTAAATCTTTGGTGGGAAATGCACTTTAATTAGGCATGAGCTTTGGTTATTTGTGTGCATATGCACTATGCTATTGGTCTTTGTGGAGAATGATTTAAAGTTTGCCATGTCACAGAGATGTATTGCTTATGAAAATAATTCCAGGGTTTCAACAAACACTGATGGCTAGTTTTGCAATTATTATTATCTTCACTCAGCATGATCTTAGTCCCAAAGTTTTTGCTCAAACTTTCATCAACTTTTAATCTTAACAAAAACTTTATCTAACTTATACAAGAACAATCATGGCCATTTATACATATTGTTAGATGTTTTCAGCAGGTACAGTTACTCATGTACATAGGAGTTATCAGAATAACTTACAGGATTTTAATACTTATACTGTAGAATAAAAATATTCTCAGGATAGAAAGAAATCATAAACTAAAAATACAGGTTAATGAGACCTGCAATGATTCTACTCTGAAACAGGTCAGATTGACTATTCATGTAAAGATGTTTGATTGAAGAGATACTGTTGAACTTATGGCATATGGTTATCGTAGTAGAAAAAGCTGAAACAGAATTGAGAGAAAATCAAATCATCCATGACATTCTCTTCCCATATTCCATGGCAAAATTAGACCACAGATTAGTAAATGGTAACGCATGCAACAAAAAAATATGCTGTATCACTGTATGTAAACATCTGCTTTCATCATGCAAAATGCCTACAAAACTGTGACAACATTTTTTTCTAGTAGCATAGTTTTACATCAGCTCAGCTACAGAACAGTTAAACCAAAATTCAAGATTTTGCAAATAGAAGATATTCTAAAATTCTTGAAAGATTTCCAGCATAAATATTCCAAAGCCCAACAAAGCTAATTTTTTTTTTTTTTTTTTTTTTTTTTTTTACTAAACTACATAGGCTTATTCCTTGCTGTGGTTCCTTGTTCTTTTGATGATAGAAGAGAAAAGACCAGTTTTTGGAGGTGGTCCCATCAACATGGGGGCTTGATTCTTGTGAGTAATTTTTATCTGGGGAAGAAAGAAGAAAAATAGAGTTACTCCTTGAGCTAGCTCAGTTCCAACTGTCAGAGATGCCTGATTTATCTTTATATATAAACTTCTAGACCTGCATAATTTAATTGAAGCTGAAAAGAAAATACCTGGGTTTTTTTATGAATTATATTCCATATGCACTAGACCAGTCTATGTGTAATAGTTTTTCCACAAATAATTTAAATTATACGCAAAAAATTAATAAACACATGCAATAAAATACATGCCAATATACAATCTTACTTTTTGAGTGTGGGATTTATTGCTTGCTGTTGAGGAAGAATTTAAAAGTTGGAAAGAACATACATGCTGACAGACCAAGCTGTTGCCTGTTATTAAGATATAAGCTATGTCTTTACATGCTTTATTTATACATCTAATCAAGCTGTACTCTTTTACTACAGGACAGTACTTAATTTCAAAACAGCAATGGTGAACAAAAGTATAAATTAATACACAAGAAAGATCCAAAAAGATGAACTAGCATTCTAATTTGTTAATTAATTGTTAATAGAATAGACTCAAATATTGAAAAGACTATTTAAAACACTTTGTAATACTGCTCTAAAGCCACCCGTTTTGATTTCTTTGATATAGAACTACGAATCACCTTAAATGAGACAACCTTAAAGTAGATTATGTCTGCAATTTTCTCTAATTCAAGTCTAAATTAGAGAAGACATTTTATGAATGTATGCTATGCTCAAAGCTAATTGAAAGCAATTATCAAAGTGGCATTTTGTCTGTGACTTTAAGATACATTGTAAGATAATAAATGATTCTCATTATGTAATAAAAAGGTCACATCTTGCCTTTGGGCTAGTGACGTTAGGAGTTTTTCAAAAGCAATCCGAGACATTTTCTTTAGTGAACTACGACTAATACAAGAACCATCACTTATTAAATATCAGTTGTCACCTGCATAGTACCCACATCAGAGATGGGTATCTCTTTCAAAAAGAAACACCACCTCATTAAAAACTGGAAAAATATATCTCTTAAAGTGCATAGCTGACATTTTCAAGTTAAAATGAATATCCTTCACTTGTCATTCACTAATAGTAAATGAAACAAAAAATGTACGTCACGTGGAGAGGCTCATTAAAATATAGATCAGGACATTTCTTGGGGTGGAAATTTACTTTACAATGTAATAAGACAGAAACATAAAAATCTCAACAGAGTCTGTGTCTTGGTTTAACTCTATTAGAGCCTTTACTCTCCAAATGCTCATTTTCATGCCACCTTAGTTCATTAACTTCAGATTTCATGTGGGACCTCTTTTTGTCAACACTATTCATTAGTATCGAATATAGCATACGGGGGGTTCTTGGCAATGTAGATTACTTTCACATGGATAAGAACTGTGGCTTTCAAAGACTGGCACCAATATATTTTCTCACAATAAATTCAGCTTCAGGCATCACTCTGGAAGCCAAATCTGTAGCTGGGGTAAGCTGGCATTATTCCACTGATGTCAGTACCAGCTGATGATCTGGTCCTGGAAAACTGCCTATTTTTGTAACTTCCACATGCTTCATAAGACGTATTTTGGGGATCGGGAGCAGTGATGATATCAACCTGATCCTGAGGATCATGACATGAAGCAATCTACAGCTGGTATGAGTGAAATTTTTAAGTCATAAAGGGTTTAGCTTATTGCAAGATTTGGCCATGATGTGGCAGTAGGAATGCCTTTAAATTTCCTTTCTGAGGTAAAACATAGTAATTCCATCCTAAAGTGAATAAAAGAGCCAAGCTCAAAAGATGGCTTTAGTAGGAAGGGGTGAGGTAATCCTGAGACCCTGTACAGATTGCGTGTCGGGTTGGGGCTGTTCAATGCTCCTCAGGATGAATGCAATTACATACTGAGTAAATGTTTATCATTTGTAATGTTCTTTCTTGGCTTGAGCCATCTGTTTCAGAGACCACAACCTCTTCAGCATGTTGCTTCCTATCAGCTGAGATCAGCTAACATGCCTGAACATGATTAACCACTGCCATGCATGGGACGAGTTCTATATGCCTCTCTCCAAGACGTATTTTCAACCTTTATAAATAGGCACAACTTCAATGGTGTAAAATATTTTGCATTCTGAAAATGCTACAATAAAGTGTAAATTTAAAGTATATTTTTTTTACTTAGTCATGGTAGTGTCTATTAACATTGCATTGGTTAGCAATGATAACCATCAAATTCCTCACTTACCTACTCTAAGAAAAATTCAATAAATTGAAACATCTTATTTTTGGCTGCTGAAAAAAGATCAGTATATTTCTGAACCATTGCAGTACTTTGCCTGAAGAAGGCTAAATTTGTCTTTCTCAATACTCTCAGGCACTGCATTTCTGCCCTGGTCTGTCACTTCTGCTTCTGTTCTCACACTGGCAGCACTGCCAGAGTTGGAACTGTGAGTCTGGGTGACAAGTGACAGTGCTCACTTCAAGATGGGAATAAGCACTGAGGATCTCAGACAGAGAAATAGTGTTGTAGGTCAAAGTAGGGCCTAACATTGGAAGTGCTCTATGGGAGGACAAAAAGAAAGTGAGTGAGAGAGAGAGAGAGAGAGAGAGAGATCTTTACTTGGAAGCAACAGAGACTATGTTAAGTTGAAAATTCCTACTTACAGCTCTATAGAGATTCTGTGTGTGTGTGTATACAGGGAAGTGTCTAAAGACTAACATTTACCATTCAGTTTCTCTTCCATTCAGCAAGCATCTTCATGTGTTTTTTAGTAGAAACACAATTACAAAAGTTTTAAGAAAGATCCTTCTTTAAAATTTTAAATGCTTCCTAGATTCACCTGTGAATCACATACACACATGCACATGAAAAAAAGAGATTGCACAGACAAAAAAAACGACAGAAAGCTAAAATCCTAACCTACTGTATTTTTAGGAATTGATAATATATACTCATGGAAATTACTATGCAATTCTGGAAAACAATTTTTGAGATCACTTAATTTATTGAAAATTTGTAATAACTTGAGGGTAATATAGAGAACGCTTTAAATATAAATTGAATGCCTGAATTGCTGCTGGAAGAAAAACAAAAAAAACCAAACAAACACACAACCATCCCACAAAATCCCAGCCAACCAAAAAAAAAACCCCAAAACAACAACCCCCCCCAAACAAACATGAACAAAAAAAACAATAAAAAACCAAAGCCAACTCAAAAAAAACCCAAAAAAACCAAAACCAAACCAAAAAAACCCCACCCACAAACAAAAAACCCCAAATAAACAAGAAATTATTTTACATACTTGGCATAAATGTATATTCAAATATAGACAAAATCAGAAAATAATAGAATTCTATTTCAGGGGTAAATATGTAGCCACCTGAATTGCTAAGATACTGTGGATTTTTGTTGTAAGCCTGCTTCACAACATTCTGGTCTAAACTTAAAGTGTTGAAGCCAATGAAAAACCTCTTATTTACTAATTGAAGCCAAGATTTTATCCCACGAGGCTTGGTATATATAGTAAATATTTATCTAGCAGAAAAATCTTGCATTTGCAGAAATCACCCTTCCAGTATTAGAAAGTATGTCCAGTGATTGTATTCGTGGCAAGGAACACTAGGTCAAATTGAAAGAGCATAATTCTCAAAAGAACAGATGATAATAACTCCCTACATGTCAATAGAAAATTTTGTGATAAAGAAGAAGCCTGAATTCTTGATACTAAAAATACTTACTAACTCATAAACCAGGCCTTTATTTGTTTTAGGAGCAGGTCAGAGTTTCAAAATGCCTTGAAGCCACATTAATATCTACTAAATGAAATGCAGTGAGCATCAACATTTTTAGCATGATAACAGTATCTTTTAGGTCAGTCAGTTTTGCTTTCATGTTCCTTTTTCTGCAGTACATGCTGGTTACCTTTATGCTTCAAAGAATGCCTAAACATTTACTATTTACTATTTCAGAAGTCATGGTGCTATAAATACATGTTCTAAAGTATTGCACTAGCTGACAATAGAAAACTGGAAACAGAGCTAATCAGCTCTGCTGATAGTGTTTCAATTAAGTTTAAAGAACTTGTTACTGTATTTTAAAGACAGACAGAAAAAACTGCCAGAAAAAATCCCCAGCCTTATCCAGCTGGATCTTGTATTTTCTGGTCACTTTTTTACATGTTCTCAGCAGGGTTTAGATGGTAGTTGTTTTGAGGGTAAGAGGGTTTTCTCACAGTCTAGACACCCAAATGCTGCTCTTCTTACAGGAAATGGAGGGATGCAACTCCTCTGTATAACAGGAGTACCAAATACTTTTATCTTCCTTAGGTGATCAAGAGTGTATGGGGAATCATGTTATGAATCAGAGGGATAGAATGTAGGCACTGCTGAGCAAAATTAACCTGTGACTTGCATCATGTGGCATTTCGGGCAATATCTCTCAGATCTAGACTAGTTGTTTTAAAAGCATTATGCAACACATCTTAAATAAATTTCTAAACAATATTATTGTGCAAAGCGCAATCAAATCTAATCAGTTTGGCATTAATTAAGCTCTAATAATATACTCTAGTCTCTCTCCTAAGTAGTGTGATCCGTTTCCCCTTCACACAGGTAGATTGGAAAACGTTACGGTGTCATCATAATTTTTAAACATACTGAGAAAATGACAGAGCTGCAAAATTAAAATAAATGATTAATGGCATTTTTTTCATGTTTTGTACTAATAGGTATCACTGAGGTTTTAAATTAATAGAGCTGTCAGCTCAGGGTTGTTACAGATCCAGTGCAGAACAAAAATGGAAATTATGTATTCCACAGATACCTAAGGATGACACTCTGGAATATTTTAAATTTTAATTAGTAGGTGCAATTGTTTTTCCCCCTCCTCCCAAAAACCACTGCAAATTAATTGGCAATTAGTCACAACTAATTCTTTTCTTAACAATCTGAACTGGAAAGAAAGGTGCACTACACATGCTAGAATATTTGTCTGGGGTGCAGAAAGCACA